TAAATTCTATATTATTCTTCGATGTGTCGTTTTCTCCTGCTGCAGCCCTCCTGAGTCTGGAAAGAGCGCTGTACTCCGGATGGGTGCTTTTGTCGAAGTAGTCGATACTGCTCATACCACTTATAAACGTGTAAGCGCTTATACAGAGCACGTAGATTACCAGAAACAATATCACTGCTAGCACAGAAACTGAAAAACGTTTCATTTTCGCTTCGACCGAGGAAAATTCTGTCAGTTTGAATTATTGACAAATGGCTGCTATGATAAAAGCAGGATAATACGAAGTTGTTTAAAGCCACCTAGATAAGTGTCTTAATACATGCATAATATTCATAAGCGCCCAAACGAAGACGGTATTGTTTCACAATAATGTCGCTGTGTTTAATTATAGAAGCGCACGCCACTGCACTGCTGAGGCTTCTAATTGATCGTCAACGTAGACATACATTTTAAATTTCTTATTTATATACTTAATGTTCTATGTTTAACTATTCTGTTGCTTTTTGAGTTTTCGAGATGTTTTGAAAAAGGCGAACTGTAACACCTGCTATTTCCCATTTCAATAGCATCGTCCACTTTCTCTTTTTTAAATTTTTCGGACACGACCGTCCCACATTAGCCGATTGGACTTTTAATTATAAGCCTTCACGGGGGCACTTTCATTTCACGAAAAATTCGGAAATGGAATTCTTCAACCTCGCCGTTAATTGCTTTGTTTCGTCCGTTCAAATAAGGAAATCGACGGGCAGTTATACCATTGAATCGCTGTTGGTAGAATACCCAATTAATTGTTTATTTTTTTACAGTGTATCTGTCCGATCAATGCCGGTAAGTTTGGTATGTTCTGCGTGGAACTGAAAGAACGATGTTTCGGAAAATGTTCGATGTAAACAAATCTTTGTTATCGTTTCTGTTTTTAGAAAGACGTTCATTATTAAAGATACAGATTACTTTTTCTCTGGATATATAATATTGATTTACTCTTAATACAGGGTGTAAGAAGTAAATGAACAAATCAAAATACGGCGAGTATTAATACTGGGGAGTTTCATCACAACGTGACAACATCGCTTAACTTAACGCTACACAGTTGGTACCACGGAAAAAATGTAAACAACTATTATTATTAAACATTTATAAATTTCAAGACAATTGTTTTCCAATGTATAAATAAAAAAAATTAAAGTAGCCAAAAATTCACGTCATTAAATAATCATACGTATTAAAAAAAATTTAGGAACTTACCAAAAAGCAAAATTCAGTAATTTTTAAACGCAAACTACAACATATGCTCAAAATGTCCATCACCATTTTCGATGAAAACACCTCAAGAAAAGGAAATAGTGGTACGGAAAAAACACTCAGACACGGTCCAATTCCAGATACCAACTGAATTGCGTATTGAGCCGCGCTGTTGTCACATTGCTCGATATGAATTTTTTCGAATTTTAAAAATATTACAACGCTAATTATTTTTTAGAATTAAGCATAAAGAAGTTGAAAAAAGTGATAAACATTGTATTTTATGGTATTCTATGCACGTAGTTACGTCAATATTCCTTAATTAATCGAACTTTTGTACATCAAATTGGAGATTTTGAAAAATTTTTCTCGGAAATGATTGAGTTAGGACCCATGTCATATTAGGGTTTTTTGTTTATTTTAATGTATTCTATCGCCTGCGCCTGTTAAAATTAAGGCAGTCAAACTTTTAACACCCTATATAACTTACAATATCCATGCAAAAATGTCCTTGGAAGACACTGATAACTTTCAATAACTTTTCAGGATTGTGTCCTACCAAAGTTGCAGGATGTCAAGAAAAAAAAATGCTGATGATCTTGGGTTTGACATTAACCTTAAGTTTCAAAGTCGAACCAAGATGAACTTGACAATATTAAATAGAACGTCCGATATTTTATGGTAGCAATCGACAAAATACCAAATTTGGACCTTTGGAAGTCAAACTCATTTTTCTCTGAATAACTAGTCTGAGAAAACTGTTGTCGATTACGAATTTCGGTTAAAGCATTTGGATTTTCTTCAGCCCATACATAGTTGTCATGGTAATTATTATTGATTCTCTTGAAAAGTTGACTTCGTTTATAAACAATATCTGTACCAGAACCTACAGATTTTGTCGAATATTTTCTGGAATTTTACATTAAAAGAACCTGGATTTGTTGTATGTGTAAAGGATTTAGGAGTAATGGTTGATACTTAACTTCAAAGCAATGTTTCTAATGCTGCTGCTAATTCTTCATCAACCAAATACGGTACTTCAAAGCTTTTAATACTAAATTATAAAATCAACCGAAATGGGGAGGTTCTCCATAATCGTGGAATGTCCAGATCGCTTCTATTTTACGTAGAAAGATCCACTCTAAATCACTCCGATCGAACCACCCCTCCGCCCAGCGGTCCCAACTGAACATTTGCTGCACTTTGAAAGTTTAAGAGTTGAAAAATAAGTTAATTTAAGGAAATTTCGAAAGCACACAGAGATTTTCTCTTAAAATCGGTTGGTAATGCCGATAAAAGCATTTCATCATGTAGGCAAATCTATTCCTGGTACAACACAGTTTATTAATTATTAATAGAGACAAAATTAAAACTCATTGTTGCTCTCCGCTTGAAATCACCGGCTGTCCCAAGCCCGGTCATTAATTCTCCATAACCCAAAACTTATGGTAATCGATCTGTCCGTGCGTCCGTGGTCTGTACCTTTACAATGGGGTGATTTCCAACCCGTGTAAACAGAGCCGCATCACGCAGCGTCCGTGTAGTTATTTTGTGCTTGTCATTTTCGTCGACACCTCAATTGTTCTTCCCCTGTCGTAATTTATTGTTATTCGCCTTTGGAATCGAATCGCCCATTTATTTGGAGGTGTCAACATAACGCCCGTTCCGTCGAACATTTATTGCACTTTATACGGAATAAAAACGGCCAGTCATCGCTTCCCGGGGTGACGGATTGGTTTCGTTGCCGCGGCGCTACGGGGTCGGAAAACATTTTCTAGAAAACCCACTTTAAATATTTCAAAACATATTCTACCACCAAACCATGCACCTCTCCTATTCGACGCAGAAAGATCCAACCTACACAACGACACCATAATCACTCCGATCGAACCACCCCTGCGCCCAGCGGTCGTAACCGAAAATTGTTTACACTTTGAAAACAAAGTAGGGCTGATGACTGAACTTTGAGGAACCCCTATATTTATGTATGTACATTATTACACCTAGATTTGTTTGAATTAGCTTAATATCTTTACAATCAAGTAAAGATACGCCAATATATCTTTTAAGAGCCCTGTATTTTCCCGATCTGAACAAAAAGCAAATTGAAAAGAGAGTCCTAATGACAAGTACTATCCCATCTGGCACGACACGAACAAAACCCCGTAATTAGATTCACCACTGCTCGTCATAAATTCGTGAGTATCGGGACACGAGGCTGGCCAGCAGGGGGTAGCACCTCATGACTTATTGTATGATAATTAGAACAAGGGGAAAGCGACTCCGTGGCCCCCCACCGGGCCCTCCTCGCGCTCCGAATGGGATGACATTCGCCGGTTGTTCTCACCTGGTTTGATGGATGACGAAACAATGGCCTATCGCGCGAAATCAAAATTTACACGGCACCCTCTACGGTTAGGTTGTTGGCTGTCAAATGAATGAGTTAATTTGGGATCGGCCCGTTATTCTGGATTGTATGTTCGTCCGGCGTAACATGTTACTTTTTTTTTGGGGAACGAGACATGTTGTTTGGGTTTATTTTACGAAGAAATTGTCAAACATCGATTTGTCGACGGCAGACATTTTGAATCATGTTTTTAGGTATGTGACTTCATACTGTTAATATAACAGTAACATTATAAATTTACAGTGTCAAAGTGTTTAAAAAAATTCATTCTCTCCGAGGTTTTAAGTTTTGAATTTAAGGTTTTCAAATATTATGGTCCTTTCCTACCCTCTATTCCAGTTTTTCCTTTTTAAAGACTTGGCAACAACGAATAAAAATTACTTTTTCCTATCTATTCCTTCTCTATCGCATGGATTTCTATGGCTTACTTTATCGCTCTCACGTAACATCAGATAGACCATCGGTACTTTCCTACCCTATATATACGGGAATCACACTACAAATGTCTACAAATAATTTCTTTCACCTTAAGGATATTCTGAGTCATATTAAAAGCTGATTTATATTCTTAGTTGATACATGAGCAGAATAATGTATTTAAAACTTATTATATTTTTAATTTGTATATTTAACAACAGTTAAATATGCGTTTATAATATACACTTCCATATCAGAACCACCACAGAAATGTTCGATATGTCATTTCCTTTGATAGTTCCTAGAAATTGTATATTTAATGTTTACCTTTTCCTTATGTTGTCTATTATTCTCCAAGTACAATATATGATTAATTTCTTGTTTTAACTAATTATTACAAGCGTTCCGTTGGTTCCTTCTTAAAAAAAAATAATAAAAAAAGCTTGCATCGGCCGGGAATCGAACCCGGGCCGCCCGCGTGGCAGGCGAGCATTCTACCACTGAACCACCGATGCTTGAGTGCAATTTTTCCCTTACAATGTTGTGATGTGGGAACTGTGTTACTTTTTAATGCAAGCAGGAAATAACCCAACTATAAAAATGTCCAAGTAACGATGTATTCTTGTAATATTAATTACTGGTAAAATGAAACCATTTTAAATCACATTTAACACAAAATATTGTAATATCGACATCGACGGAATGTTAGAAGGAGATTCTCTGACCAAAAAGAAGAAAAACTTCATATGATTAACAATAAGTCTGTAAACGTTTTTGAGATACAGAGTGATAAAGATTCTTTTTTTTCTTCTCTCTCATTTATTTTAAAGGTTTGTTAAGATCATTGCGAATCATGCGAAATTGGTGCCCATTTTCAGTATCGCGATAACTCTGCCCATGAGTTGATTACCACTAAAAGCAGCGTCCTTTCCAGACCAGCGACCTGGACACGTTCCTGTGCAAGCAGGAGTGGGAACGCCGCCTAGAGGAAGAACTGGAGAAGCCTCGGCGCGACTCCGCCTCGCAGATAGATGACTTCTTCGAGCCGGCCCACAACAACAACCGCCACCAGCCCGCCATGAGCTACGTGTCGATGAGGACCCTGCCGGGCACCGACGACGACGTCTTCCTACGGCCCCCGCTATGGGAAGACATCGCCAGCAGCATACAGAACATAGACCCGGAGAACGCGAACATGCTGGGGGTGAGCCCGGGGCAGGTGAAGCTGGAGGCGGTGGACGACATCGCCGTCAACTGCGCGGCGACGCCGTCGCCCCTGTTGTCGCCGCTGGAGATTAAGACGGAAAAGGTAATTTCAACGTCTGTTAAAAGTTAATAAAGTTATTCAGATTAGGCTGAAGGCATCAAAGACCCGTATATTTCCTTATCTTACTGTAAAATTAGCCGTCCTTTCATAATGATCCGACAACAGGTGCATCATTACGCAATTTTATTTTTCAGTTTGAAATATTGTGCTGGAAGATAGCTTGAATAACCAATAAACCAATAAATTCCTTATAGAAACTTAATTAAAATAACTTGGATGACATTATTTATAAGAAAGTGTCTGTATCGATACTGTGAAACAATTTATTCAACAAAAGATATTGCTTTTAGCCTAGTCCAGATGTACAAACAATTTACACATCAACAAATACCCGATGCAAAAAAAACATTCGTCCATAAACAAAACCAAACGTTAATGATTTTTTTTTGTTTTCCTTTGAATAAAAATTGAAGATTGAAGGTGTGTTTCTTCAAAACGTCCTAAACCCTTCGAAATAGTAACGTCTTTAGTAGGATCATACTCGATGCAAAGTAATCAATCAGTGCCTGTCAAGGGATCCAGTGCCATACGCTTTTAAGGGTTTTAGAAATTGAATAATTTCTTTATACATTATGAAGGGACGAAGGGATCAGTTCACGTTTGGTACCCTTGTTCCTACAAAAATTCCTTTATTCTCATAAACTATTTATTTTAAATCCAATTTGTCTTTTAATTTCCACATATGTACTACATTTTACTTCTGTACGCGCCACTGTTGTTTACTTGTTTTTTGGAGGCGCTCTCTGTTTTACAATCAAGCTCTCCAGGTTAGTATTTGACGTATAACCGACCACTTCGTACACTCGATGCACCTGGGCGACTACAGCTACTACCAGAACACAGTGCGTATGCAGCGGTATTTCAGATTTAACATTCAATTTCATTTTAAATTTGAAATGGTTCATCTTACGCCTCCTAAAAATGATGACACGATTTTCCTTTGAGAAAAGACCGACAACTTTTTGCTCTACTTTGCATCGAATACAATCCTACTAGGAATCTGCTAAGTAGCTGCTGATCTGCGAAATGAATGACCACTATGTTTCTGAATCTTCTAATTTCAAAAATCTAACAATTGACATTTTTTCACTTAACTCTGGACCACCCTGTATATAGAAACTGTATAACATTGCTGATCCGCAGGTCCTCCAGCAACCGGGCCCCACGTTACACCTCATGGGCACGCCCACCAGCCCCTACAACCAGCCCCAGCCGACCAGCCCCCAACAACAGACACCTCACTACCACCAGCAACCGCAGCCGCCTCAGCAACCCATCCACCACCCCCACAACAACAACAACAACCCCCACCCCCAGTACAAATACAACAACAACGTGGCCCCCGGTCCCGCTCCCGGCAACGCCCTGTATCCCATGTCACGATTGATGTACGTGTCGCCGCTAACGCCCCCCAGCTCGGAGCCCGGCTCGCCGGGCGGCGCCTTGCCTAGGCGGACGCCGCCCCCGCCATATCCTGCCCCCGGATGCCCCCAGCAGACGCCGGCGGCGGCGGTGCCGCGGATCTCCACGGGGGTGAAGTATAACAGGAGGAATAACCCGGAGTTGGAGAAGAGGCGGATACACCATTGTGATTTTATAGGCAAGTAATGAATTGTTTCACTTTTTCACTTCCCTTTCCAAATCGGCTGCATATAAATTTAGTCGATCCGCGTTATAATAAGTGGTTTTAATGAAAAAGTAAAATAATTAGTGGCATAAATAAAGAAGCAGCACTCATTTTTATAAATAATCGATTGTATTAAGAAATTCATAATTTTCCATACTTATTAGTATGTTTTGCGATATACAGTTACGAAACACCCTGTATATTTTATTTACAATGTTTACTGTCAATTGCAGAACAAGAACTGAGGGATATGGACCATTAAGAAAGTTTTGCTTAGATAATCCGTATTATAATAACAATTTTTCTTATTAGTGTTATTATGTGCCAAGCTTTAGAGGGTTCTATAGTAAATAGGCAACCAGAAATACATTTTTATAGATTTTATTACACAGTTTGTCTAAACATGAATTAATGCACAAATAACATACTTTGTCCCATTTTAATGCAGATTTTCTATAAAATGGACTTGGTTTGAAACTAAAATTATTTTTTGGTGTAAAGAAATTTGTAATTTACTTGTTCAAAAGCGGCAAATTACAAATTTATTTACAACAATAAGTAATTTGCGTTTAACTGCTCCAGTTAGATGCTGGTCAAAAAAGAATGGCCCAATGACAAGTGCTCCCAAAATTGCTCCCCATACGTTCAAAAACGATCTTTGGCTATGAGTTGTCCAGAATTGGTGAGGATTTACTGTATCACAATAATAGCAATTATGACTATTAACGAAACCATTTTTATGAAAAGTAGGCTCATCGGAGAACATGACCCGATTTAAAAAATCATCATCTTGATTTAACATCCCGCTGACAAAACTCCAGTCTCCGCTGAAAGTCTACTTTTAGTAACTCTTGGTGTAATTGGATGCGATAAGGATGTACTGTGCTGTGCTTTTGCAAAATCCTATGTATCAACGTTGTACTAATGCAATTGGAAGGCCTTCTTGACGCTATTACATAGCTACTTTTTCGGACTTTAGAAAAGAACCTGATTTTTCTGGAAAACTGTTAAAGATAAGTACGGACAACCTTATACCAGTCGAAAGGGCATTCAATTTTGCATTTACCAATGACAATTAATATGGGTCATTCCATTTGAAATGTCATATGTCATGTTTTGTTTACGTAATTCAAGAAGGTGCAAGAAGCTGATGCTCCTTACTTACGTGTGAATTGTTCTAGATTTTAAGTATACGATGAATTGGTTCTTCATATATTAGGAGTGCAGGATTTTAATTCTATTCATTATAAACGGATTAGCACCAATGCTCATTTCCAGAAGTTGAGAGGCATCATCAAATTTTCACTTGTATGAAACAGTTATTGACGTTAATGTAGGCATCCATTTTGTAGGATGCTGACCTCAGGATCTGCATATTCCCTTCACATTCAGTTATTAAGAAAATGTTATATTCGTAATAACCGTTCACATATTTGTTTACCCCAGCTCTGATTAACGGTTGTATTATTCTGTTCTGATCAACGACAGTTTACCGCCGCTGATTAGGTACTTTATTACCATTGAATTTATGTTATAACCGCAGAGTAGGACTTAATTCATTACCTACCTGGGGCACAATTCCATATTCATGCTTCTCGGAACAATTAAGTAAATATTTAATACAATTTGAGCGATTACAGCTGAGTCAGAGCGACACTTTCATTTCGGTTTGGTAAATGATCAGGGGACGGGCATAATTCATAACTCTTCCATCATTTCTCTACAAATTTATACAAAATCGTGTCCTAGTAACAATCTATTTATATGTAAAACTAATTACATTTCCATAAAGTCCTACCCACATTTCCAACAAAACAATCAGACGTATAATTTGTAAACGTAGAAATGAATGCAAATCCGTCATTTGTATGCAGAGGAATTCAAAACACATATTTTAACTATAACTGAACCTATATTTAACAAATGAATGTGCATCCATTAAGATTTTTCTAGTTTGGACCATCCGTGCGAATAAGCATTCCTTTGCAGGGAAATTAACATTATAAGCCAGGAAAAAGAGCTGGGAAATTACCATTTCGCGACTGATTGTTTACAGGGTGGTTAATTATATAATTTTTACGTAAATTCACGTTTTTCGCTTATAACTTGTTTCCGTTCATTTCCACGAGAAAACAGTAAGGTACTTTTTTTTCGTCTTCAAAAGACCTACAAAACTAGCCCTTGAGCATCAAAAAATATTGATTAGATCAAAAGTTATAAACAGAAGAACTTTATTTATGACTTTTGAATTAAACATTTATAAACTGCATTATTATTACCAGGACGTTTTGGCATCGTATCCTCTCATTCCTTATCACTTCAGGTTGCAAATTTGAAATTAAAAAAAAATGATCGATTTCAATGTATTATTATGAAATCTACCATGAAAGAAATCAGTGCGATTGTGGACGATGCTCGGGATCGTCCAGACTAATAATTAGTTCATTTGTTTATAAGGCCATAACTTGTAAACTATTCAACTTACCGATTCCAGATTTCGTGTGAGTCATTAGACAGTGATAAGGAATGAGAGGATGCGATATCAAAACGTTCTGGTAATAATAAAGCAGTTTATAAATGTTTAATCCAAAAGTCATAAATAAACTTCTTCTGTTTATAACTTTTGATCTAATCAATATTTTTTAACGCTCGAGGGCTAGTTTTGTAGGTCTTTTGAAGACGAAAAAAAAGTACTATACTGTTTTCTCGTGGTAATGAACGGAAAAAAAGTTATAAGCGAAAAACGTGAATTTACATAAAAATTATACAATTAACCACCCTGTAAACAATCTTCCCCCCATTTTTATGACTGTAGAAACTAATATGTTATTGTACATAATATTTAGCATCTAGTGATAAATTCAGCTTGCCGAAACAAAAAGTCGCGTCTAACTCTATATTTCCTGGCCTAATGTATTAATCTCTTTAACAAAGAATTAAATCTGAACTAACAATTAAATCTATGTTCTCATTCAATTTTTTTTTACTTAGAACCGCCAGGTGAATAAACCTAAGTTACCATACAGTCTATTTACTTCAGAACAAGTTGTAATCAAAACACGGGCAATGTTATTTAAATTAATATTTTTTTTGCAGGTTGTACGAAAGTTTACACAAAAAGCTCACACCTTAAGGCGCATCAAAGAATTCATACAGGTGGGTGTCACTTAAGTAAGTTTTATTTTTTTGTAATCAGTTTTAATTATGTAAGAATTAACAGTAATTCTAGATAATAAATTAGTATCACACTCCCACTTAAGAGGATGATTTTGCATTTTGATTTTGTAACTTCAAAACGTTACATGTTATATGAACGTTATTTGTGTTAATCGAATGATTAAAAATTTCCTTCTTATTGAATCATAGCGGGAAAATATAAGCCACACGATAACTATTTGACTGACTGTAACCGCATACTTAATAAATACTCAATTCAATTATTTGTCACAGATAATTATGCAAATACGCTTCAGTGTAAAATTAACAGCACGATTGTTTATGAAAATATAAATGTAAAAATTACTTACTAATTCAGGAATGTGTAAACAAAAGAAAAATTATGTAGAAATTAAATAAATGTGTTTAACAGTTTTTCTTTAAAAGTGCTATAGACCAGGGCGGATTAGTCGAAATATCCCTTCTTGGATGTAAGAGGGGGCAAGCCATTTTTTGCTGGAATACTTTCAGTACAACTCACATAATAAAAGTATAGATCCCTAGATCTGGGCGAGATCCAGAACAATTTCAAAATTTCGAAAATGTTTAAAAAATACTTAGATCATCTGAGTTTTTTACTTATATCTTGGACCCTATGCATTTTGGAAGAATATTGAAGAGGAAAAATGTTTTAGAACTGAATTTTGCACAATATTCTGTAAGTTAAAAATGTTTAAATTTATTACCGATGTTGCAAAATAGCAATAATTGATCAAAGAAAGGCAAAACAATCAAGTCTTTTTGATAATTTTTTAAAAATATTTTAATTGCTCCGAAGACATTCTAATTTTGGTAAAAAAAACTTAGTATAATAAAACAACACGCCAAATTTCATTAAAATCGCTTCAATAGTTTTTGCAAAATAATTATTTGAAAAAATTTTGAACAAAAATTTTCGAATTTTCAAAATGTTGCCTCAAATCAAATAAAGCATTTGAAAGATTGAGCGGTCTTTTCTACGTGAATAAATTTTCAAGTATCTAGATGCTTTATTTGAGGCTGTACATTTTAAAAATTAAAAAAAATTTTTTCGAAATTTTTTTCAAAAAATTATTTTGTAAAAACTATCTAACCGATTTAATGAAATTTTATGCGTTGTTCTATTATACTCTAAAGGTATTTTTATCAAAATTAGAATGCCCTCGACGCAATTAAAATATGTTTTAAAAAATATCCAAAAAACTTGATTGTTTTGCCTTTTTTACATCAATTATTGCTATTTTGCAACATCGGTAATAAATTTAAACATTTTTAACTTACCATATATTGTGCAAAATTAAATTCTAAAACTTTTTTTTCCTCTTCAATATTCTTCCAAAATGCATAAGTTCCAAGATATAAGTAAAAAACTCGGATAAAATAGGTATTTTTTTAAATTTTTAAAACATTTTTGCAATTTTGAAAATGTTCCGGACCTCGCCCAGATCTAGGGATCTATACTTTTATTATGTGAGTTGAAGGTAATCCAGAAGGAATTTGTTTGCCCGCTCTCACATCCACCTCAAAACAGATCCGCCCTGGTCTATTAATATTCATACAAATCGCTGCTTTGTGTTACGAGCATATCAAATGATTCAAGAAGAAAGAAATACTAAAAAACGTTTTCAAAAATTCAGACTACATTGCATTTTTTGATCCTTTAAAAATGATTCTTCGGTTACTCCGACTTCCCCGATACTTTTTAAAAATAAAACTTTTCCTTAAAATTACAAAAAAAAAATAGTTCGAGAACAGTGAACATTTTTCTAATTACAGGAGAAAAGCCGTACCAGTGCCAGTGGCCAGAGTGCGAATGGCGATTTGCCAGGTCAGACGAGCTCACCCGCCACTACAGAAAACACACGGGGGCGAAGCCTTTCAAGTGTGGTGTCTGTGAACGATCATTTGCCCGATCCGATCACTTGGCGTTGCACATGAAGAGGCACCTACCCAAAACCGCAAAATGAGGACCGTACTTCACCTTATAGAAATTTAATTTATCATCACATTGTAAACATTCCTTCTATATTAACTTATGAAAACGATCTCAACATTACAATCGTTATATTTTATATGGACTTTTTTTCTAAAGGAACGTACCTCATTTGAATCACGTTTTGCCTTTCGTAACTTAGAGGCCTTCCCAGTGTACTTAGACAATTGTAGTATGTTTACAAGGGTACGATCGGTGAACTGTTCGACGATGTATGACTTTTATTATGTGCAATTTTGTACCGTATCTCATATTGCCTTAATAAAAAATTCTAAGTTCCGTATATGGAAAAAATGTAAGAAAAACAGAAGACGAACGGCTGTTCATGTTTCTTAGCTATCCGGAATTGATAGTTTGCGAAATGTATTGCCATGTAAATATTTGTCATTGTCATATGCGGCTAAATGCATGTAAATATGTGTAAGTCATACATTTTCAGCAGCTTATAGAGATATCTATGATTTGGATAAATCGTGTGACTTTTTCCTTCACTAATTCCAGTTCCGCAATTTATTATTTACCCAACACGTTCTTTCGAAAACTTTTGCACAGGGCAGCTTTAACTCGGTGTTGTTTAAATAATAAAATGCAATTTCGATCTAAATAAAATTTGTTCTTGTAATATATAATATATGAAAGATATAATATAAAAGTTATGTTTTGTTTTATTTTTGTAAAAACTAATATAATTTGGTTGTGAAATATTTGTTATTTATGGTGTAGTTTACGGACATTTGCACTGTTTACTTTGTAATTATTATTTGTAATTTGTACATTTTCATCTCAGTTATTGTATTATTTTTTTTATCTAACATTGCCATCTAATTTTACCCAGACTTGTGATTTTTTAGATGTATATTTTTACGAGGATATTTTATTGTGAGGGCCGGGCACCACCGCCCTTCAGAGTTTAAGGGTACACTTATAAAACCTAGAAAAGTTAGCGTTAAGTGCAAACATGGATGCCATAATTACCTTCCTTCGAAAAATCTTAAAATTTACCACTCCCTTTCTAACTATTAATTATTATTAGCTTTTTAAGCTGCAATTTAATTATCGCCACTGGACGTCATAAACTGGGCCACTGGAATTAGCCTGGTAAGTTGTATCAGTGCACTATCGGCGTCAAAATTCAACTTCATTTCACAGAAACTCTGAAGAACTTAAACTTTTCTCTATCCCCTATTCTGTTCGATATTGAGTGGTGTTTTCGTGCCGTATAATCGAAATAATAGTTCCTCTAATTATTTTTTTTCTAGGAAGCTAAGCAGTTTTATAAGAGTGCCCCGTTTAAACCCTCCCTTGTGTCGTAAACAATGTTCAGTATAAGGAAGTTACCAAATATGTACACTGAATATTTTTTTTTTTGTACATAACAAAAACTGACTAGGTCCTAGTCAAGTAACTCCGATATTTGTAAGTATATGTAAGTTAAAAAAAACTGCTACTATGCATATCTAGTGTATTTATATCTTTAAATATATGAATAAATAAGTATTATAGAACGGCCACAAAACTTTATTAACATTAATTTGTACTTTACGTTATTTTTATTTATATGAATAGAGCAAGCTAGAGTACACATAAATGTAGTTAGACATTGTTTTCTTTTTTAATTTTGTATAATTTACTTTTAATACAGTTTTATTTTTACCACGTTTTTTTTCTTTCTTTTATTTGTACAAGTTCGATTCCCGACTTTTATGTTTACCCTTTTATAATGGATAATACAGGGTAAACAGAATAAGAGAGTTGTTAGTTTTTTAAGCTCTACTGGGCATGGTAAACTGGGACACCATAATTAACCTGGTAAGTTGTATCAGTGCACTGCCTACGTTGCCAGTTGTTACCTCAATAAAACAGCTATTAAAGAATGGCAGTGGAAAATAATTTAGTAAAACATATTATTGCTTTTGTATGGCTTAGTAACATGTTATTTTAGTCACCATATACACTGTGTCTCAAAATGATGAAACAAAATTCATTTTTTTTTTCACTTGAAATTTTTTTTTAATAGGACGCTCTATATTTTATAGTATAAATAGATAACCCTTCTAAAGACGAGTTCAGCGATATAACGTTATATCTACTTTTTGTCATAGTTGTCAAAAAATGGAGGAATTAAATAAAAAAAAAATTTAAGTATTTACAATTACTAATTTTTTAAAAAATGTATGTCTTTGATGTGTGAATCTCAGTATCGATGACCTCCAACATCGGCCTAGTTTAGCTGAACTACCTATACAACCGTCACTTCGTAAAGTAGATAAGAAAGTATTTAGAAAAGTTAAAACAGGTAACATTAAAAACATATGACGCACTCTGAAACTGCTTGGTGACGGCATACACGATAGTTTAACAACAGTTTAGACAATGAATTATAACGCAACTACACTAGGCACAGAAATTAAGGAATATTAAAAAAATCCCGAAATTTTGGGCGATTTTCAAAGAGCTGTAACTTGGAGGAAAATGGTCGTAGGAGAATAAAAAAAAAGGAAATTGAAGCTTCAGGTGTCTTGTTTTCAGATTTGCGGTTTAAAATTTTTTAGCGTCAGCAGTTTTTGAGTACCTAATCATAAGAAAATCAACGAAATTTTTATTTTTTTTTTTAAAGGCCTATGGACTTTTTTTGGTAATTTCACCATAAAGCTCTTTTAGATAATTTAATTATCTTCAATTTGAGCGGCTCAATGGTTCATGATTCTAAAAAAAATTTAAAAAAAATTAGCCGAGACGGCTTAGAATCGATGATTAGGAATAGAGGCGGTAATACACGATATTAAATTGTGATCTGCAACGTCAAATCAACCAAATTTTTTTTGACGTTTGTGAAACTTGTGGATGTTAAAAAAAAATTGAAAAAAAATTTTTTTTATTTTTTTTTAGAATGAACGTTTTTTGATGAAGGAAATATGGATTATTTCTAAAAAAAACAATTTCAACTTCAAAAAATGAAAAAGTGAAAATTTGCTTAATTATTATTACACTGATTTTCAGCAAAAACGACAAATTTAAACATTCCGGGCACTAAAAAAAAATTGCAGCGTTTTGAAATATCAGGGTTTCTTTAGGACACTTTGAGGTTGAAAAGTTAAAGTCAATGTCCTTAGTTTATTCATTATTTGCAAAGTTATGCCAAGTTAGTCAAATATCCAAATTTTACCTTTTTTCTAACCAACATTTTCACTTGGAAATTTTTTTTTATCAAAAACCAATTATTACGACTTGTAGAGAATACTTTGCAGTTTTCAAAACCCTGCTTGGATTTTATGTACGAGCATTATTTCCCGGGTAATTGATTGCCAAAGTCAAAAATTATTTTTTTTCTTTGATCGACGAGAACTCACCGACAAATAATCGTACAAGGCTCCGGAACAGCTCAAATTAAAGAGAATTAAATTATCTAAAAGAGCTTTATGATGAAACTACCAAAAAAATTTTTTGAAGTCCATAGGCCTTTTTAAAAAAGCAAAAATTTATAAAAAAAATTTCCGTTGATTTTCTTATGATTACTCAAAAATTGCTGACACTAAAAAATTTTAAACTGCAGATCTGAAAACTAGACACTTGAAGCTTCAATTTCCTTTATTTTTATTCTTTCTACAACCATTTCCCTCCAAGTTACAGTTCTTTGAAAATCGCCCAAAATTTTGGAATTTTTTTAATATCCCTTAATTTTTTGTGCCTAGTGTATTTAAGTTAATTAAAAAAAATAAGGTTAGTTTTCTGGGGGGTCCCAAGTTGCAACCTTAATAAATTAAAACTGAAAAAAAAAACTACACGCAAGGGAAAACAAAAGTAATTTACGCACCTCGACAGTATCATTGGAAAAATTTTCTTGAATGAAAAACAATTTATTTAGTAAAAAGTACTAGAGGTCCAACATTAAATCCGACTCGTATTGTACGTGTTGCGAGAAAAAAAAACGTGGAATAGAATATAGTTGCAAATTGACTTACCTTTAACTGCGTATAATTCTTACCGATTCAACTAACTGCTTCTTGACATGCATTAACTTTAAGGAACTGGAGGGGCAAGGAGACGAAAAAAAAAAACTATGCCAAAACACTTTAATCGTCTCGATTTTACACACAATCCTCTTTCTCGTTCTTCTGGTACCAAGCTCCGCACGTGTTAGCGTGCGTAACCTTATGCTTAACGAGATTCCCGATGCACGAAAACCTCCATCCGCAGCCTTTACAGAAATACGGCTTAATGCCCGTGTGCAAAGTACTGTGAGTGATCAAACTGTCCCGATACGCGAAAGCGCTGGGACAAAACAGACAAGTATAGGGCTTCTCCCCGGTGTGCGACCTCTCGTGGACCTTGAGCTGCCCCTTCCAGTGGAAACCTTTGCCGCAAAATTTACAGGTGAGGTTCTTCTCCGAGCTGTGCACGCGCATGTGCGCCTTGCGGGTGTGGTCGCTTGAGAACTCCTTCCGGCAAACGTCGCACTGGAAAAAGAGGCCTTTGCTGCAGTTTGTCTCGTTGTGCATCTGGAGTACGGTTTTCTGTTTGAATTTTTTGCCGCACTTCTCGCAGATGTAGACGTACTCCTTTCTGGGGACGCCCTTGTGGAAGATGTGACGGTGCGAGCGGAGGGAGTCGGGGTTGGCGAAAATTTTGTCGCCGCAGTCGTGGCAAGCTAGAGCAACAATAAAAATTGATGGTTTCATGTAACGTGAAGTGTTATATGTGAAGGAGCATTTTCTTTATACGTAATTTAAGAACTTTCCCGACACAGCCTGTTTTTTATGTTGCAGTTTTTTCATTTCAATATGAGACAACTAAAATAAGGAATATTTTTCAAATAACATTTTTGCACAAACAGAAAAATAAAGAAAATAAAACTAACTCGATTTCGAACTAATTTCGAGATATTTATATCGTAATATGAATAAATTTGATTGTCATGTAGTCTAAATGGAAAATTCCAACTAAAAAAACACCCAGTATGAATATATTGATTTAGACGAGAGAAATGGTTCACCCTGTATTGACTACTTACATAATATATCAGCGTGATCAAGTTGCTGGTGGTGTTTCAGATCATCTTTTGTTTCGAAGCATTTTTTGCAACAGCTGCATTTGAACGGAAGGATTTTGCCCTCTCCGTTTTCCGCGTGTTCTTGTTCGTGCCTATAGAGCCACCTGAAAATCGTATATTCTTTCTTGCAGTATTTGCAGCTGGCGGCTTTTTTGTTTTCTAAAATGATTCGATAAAAAAAAATTTATATCATATTGCGCCTTTACAAGAATATAACGTTACCTAGTTGTCTATCCTTTATAAATTCATTAAGTTTTTGTTCAAATAAAGTATCTCGTTTCCTTTTGCCTCTATTTTTCGGCCTAGAGCTTAGCCTAGACTCATCGCTTGCCTCTGTAGAATTATCAGATGAAGAATCGTTTTCTTCATTAACGATTTCGTTTCCATTACGAGTTTCTGAATTTACTTTGTTGCCATCATCAGTCTTCTCAATCTTACAATTATTTTCTTCTAAATCTACATTTGTACTAGCGTTTTGTTTGATTATATCATGATTTTCATATGTATCCTCTGATTTAGAGTCATTTTGATTTACAGTAGTTGCGGGATCATTTTCAGACTAAAATATGTTTTTTATTTTTACAAGACAGTTATTTAATTTTTGCTTTCAGAGTGGTACAATATACAGGGTGTCCCACCGGAAACTGCGTCGATCGATATCTAGGAAAACTATTCGTTATTTTAAATGGGACACCCTATATATTATTACATTTTCGAATTCTACGTGAAATTTGAGGGTCACTTTATTAAATATTCCCTATATCTAGGACTTGTAGAATTTGAGATATTAATATTTAAAGAAAAAAATTTGACAGATGCAAGGGTCCACAGAGATGCTAGTAACTTCAGTAAATTCAGGAGTGTGATATTAAATGGATTTTTGGTACCTGTAAAGGGCATAGGTAACACTAAGTTAGGGTATACCAACAAGTTAAAACATTTAATACTAGGTGTTTCATTTTTGCTGTTACATTTTGATAACTTCAAATAGCTATAACTTTGTTAACTTAAATGGAACACCCTGCATTTTTTTACCCTGTTGTATGCAAATTGAAATTTCCTTTTACTCCATATAATCATTGTTAGGGTTGCCGTTACTACTTTTAGAGATATTTACAATTTTCTATTTTATGGACAGTTTTTCTCGTATCAAACCTGTTGTCAAATTGGCCATGACCAAAAACACTAAAACAATTAAAATAACTTGACATTTGTCAAATTAATTGTCAAATTATTGTTATGGTTGTAATACTTTTGCTGAAAATTTAAATAGAAATTCCTGGGGATCGTTTAAATTATACTTATGAGGATTATTAAGAAAGCACCAAATTCTCTACATGTTCTTGAAATTACTTTGTCACATTTTCCATAAATAACAAACAAATTAAAGTAATCCTCATTAGTAAAATTTAAACAATCCTCAGGCATTTTTATTTAAATTTTCGGCAAAAACTATTCAGACACAATAATTTGACAACTGACTAGACAAATATCATGGTATTTCAATTGTTTTTAGAGTGTTTCTGATCATGGCCAATTTGACAGCAGGTCAGATACAAGAAAAACAGTCCAAAAAATAGAAAATTGCTAATATCTCTAAAAATAGTAACAGCAACCATAACAATGATTAATATGGCTTGAAAGGAAATTTTAATCTGCATACGACAGAGTCTGCAGTACTTTCCTAGATATTGATCGACGCAGTTCCTGGTGGGACACATTGTATACTTTCAGTATAACTGTTAAAATTCAATGATGTTTTTCTTACACAACGGCACAACAAGTACAAAAAGGGGTTTATTATTATGATTTTAATAACATACATCAATGAGAATATACTCATTTAGATCTTTTTAAGCAAAAGATGATTTCATTTAATTATACCAAAAATTTTTTATAACATTTTTACTTTTCTTACATTTTTAAAAATCGTTGCGGTTTTACGTTTTTAACACGAATTCAGATTTTTTTCTTAGGAAATAGCCTATATTTCAATTTTTGACTATAGAATTGTTGGCACCTGCATAAAATTATCTTTAAAATGGATTTATCGATGTGACATTTATGTAAAAGAAAAAGAAATTTAAGTTGCAAAGAAAATAACTTTTTTTTAATTCAACTGTTTGTTGTCATAGTTATGTCAAAAGTTATGTGTAACTTACATACCGGGTGTTTCAGAGTTGAAAAGACAAAAGTCTAGGGGAGATTCCGCTCAGCAAAATATGTAAAAAAGTTCATATGAACAAGACTCCGGAAGTGCTTTGTTTCCGAGATACAGGGAGTAAATTTTTTTTAATTGATTTAAAAAAAACGCTTTAGTCGTTTTTTTTTGTAAAAAAGAATAGGTATCACCATATAGTTTTATTTGCAGTTTTTATGTAATATTCAAATAAACAAACTAAAAGTAGTACATTTGTGTCTTTTGGCCCTTTTTAGTGTCTCGCTTCATTTTCGAGAATCTACAAAAAAAACGACTTGCTCGCTGGGCACGCCTCTGAAAATTCTGGATCAAATCTAATCGGTCCAGTTGATGTATGATAATTATTTTAATAAACCGTAAAAATTTCATTCAAATCGGCGAGCCTTTTTTTAAAAAAAAAATACATATTTTGCTGAGCGGAATCTCCCCTAGGCTTTTGTCTTCAGAAAAATACTTTTGTTTACCAATTTAAAAAAGTATTCATTTGGGTTACGAGTGTTGTAGGGAGTCTCAAAACTAATGCTAATGCTTTTGGATATACAGTTTTTATCGTTCAATTTTTCTCAACAAGCCCAAAATAACTTAACTACGTTTTATCCATTTGTTTGGGAGATTCGAGAAACCCCAAACGACAGTGTCGAAATACCCTTTACAACTTTGAAAAGAATTCATAAAAGAGTAAACTCACCTTTTCTTTTATTTCGTCACGAGTAGCAACTGATTTCATACTGGCGTTCAGCGAATCTAACTTGGCCAGTTTTTCCTGAAGCTCCTTGTTTCTTTGCACCTCCTTCAGTTTCGAGGTAAGGGGAGTGTTTATTTTAACTTTAATTTTCGTAGAAGGATTTTGTACCCTATGTGTGGTCAGGGGCAGCAAACCACAAGTATCTGCGTGGGATTTTCGGTGTTTTAACAAATTCCCGACGCAACTGAAGGATTTTCCGCACCCCTCGCATTGATACGGCTTTATGCCAGTGTGCACAGTGCTGTGGGTTATCAAGCTTTGACGGTGACAAAATCCTTTACCGCAAACCTAAAAGATGGCAAGTCTTAATTATACTATAAATATTCTCAGCTGATACACTTACATCACAGACAAAATCTTTTTGTTGGGTGTGGATTCTCTCGTGTACTTTTAACTGGCCGGCAGTGTGGAACAATTTTGCACAAAATCGACACATAAAGCTTGCCATATCACTGTGTCGTCGCATATGATTGTACAGAGATCCTGCGGACATTAACTTTTGTCCACAAACCTAAAACAATTCCAATATTTTACCCTAGACAATTAATGAAAAACTAATAAAACAAACTTACTTTACAAGTAAACAATTTTTCTGTTCCACACTTTGAATTAATGTGTTGTCTAAGTTCACTCCTTGTTTTGAACGTCTTCCCGCAGACATTACACATATAGCAATCTATCAATTTTCCTTTGTGGATGTCTCGTACATGTAACAAATACTCTTCTTCTGTTTTGAATGATGCTCCTGGGCATATCCTACATGTCTTATCCTTTTTCTGTAAAAAAAAATACATAAACAAGGCTCTATAAACATCAACACATTTTTCGATCAATACCTGTACCGGTGAATGGCAAGATCTATCATGTAGCCTCTTCTGATGATAAGTTTTGAAACGTATATTACATTTAGCACAAGTGAGATTATGTGTCTCCAAATGTTTATTAAATTTTGTATGAACAGTGAATATTTTATTACATGTAGGGCACTGAAATTCTTCCTTAAACAATAGAATACTTTATAAAAACCTTTTTAACATTTTCCCTTTTTTTACTTACAGATTGTACCAATTCATTTATATCCATTGTAATTTCCTCAATTTATATTTTCAAATAAGTATACACTTATTAGAATACTCTAATAAATAAAATCTAATTTTACATAATTCTTATTGTATTCTAAATTAAAAACTGAATATATCCAGTAGCCAGTAGTTCAATTTAAAATTCAACAAAACAGATTTCATATTGTTTACTAACAAACAACAATCGAATAGAAACAGTCATAAATTATAAACAAACAAAACCTCACTTGATACGATGTTTTCTATTTTCCTCTGTATTCCTGTATTTTCCTGTAAGACACTACTAGCAGTAATTTTTACAATATCATGTTGAGAGCACTGAGCAGATTTTTGGGGGAAACAATTCAAAATATTTAAAACTTATCTTCCATTTAATAATTAGTGTTTTTTTTTAGTAATATATGGAATATGCAAATCTTATTTTAAAAAGTCTACAAAAATTAGCAAGTTATACTACTTTTTATCTATCATACAGACTACACAAAAAAATTACTTTCACATACCATGTGGCATGGATATTTATTTGTACATTAGATAGGATAAATTACCAAATGTTTTTTAAATGGTTCGTCCTGTAGAGGTAATAATTACTACGTTTAAAATTTTATACTTTAAATTTATTTTAATTTATAAAATAAAAAATAATTTGGTTTTACCTTATTTAAAACAAATACATTTATGTATATATTCAACAAACATTTTAACAGAAAAACAAAACAATAATTTTAGTACAGTATTTATTTGTTTTTTATTAAAAATAAGTAACGAATATGCTACACAGCTTTTTCCTATAACTAAGCAGTTTACACACTTTCTCTTGTAAATGTAATATACATAACTTCAAATTAGAAAAAAGAAAGATAAGTGATAATTTTTTTGAGAATCCATAATAATATACAGCCCTATTACTATAGAATATTCGTATTATGAAAATATGTATATACAAAAGTGTTTTGGCTTATTTTTATGTAATGCAAACATAAAGAAATTTTAAAGGGCATTTCAAGTACAAATAACAGCTACAATATTACTACGAATAAAAAGTAAAGTAAATTTTATAATTAGATATTCGACATAAGTGCAGGAATAAATTCTTATGGTATGGGTTTTAAAAAGTTGACTAATTTCTGTGCAGAACCCTGTTGTATTTTCAAAAGTAAATAAAACTAATGTATCAATTTATAAATACAACAATTTGGAAGAAAATAGAAATGATTAACAAATATTCTCGATAAATTTAAGGATTTTTCAGCAAACAACTCAGATGTTAAAAAAATTATATATTTTCAAATAATCTTAAATATGGCAAGCATAAAATTTTATTTCAGGTTCCAACGTAATTATAGAAAACAGCGTCAATCAAATACGTTGTGCACCAATAAAATTGTAACGTTTACCCTTCCGACACATTTTTATATGGAGCCGTATAGGAACCTGACTACTTTTTCAAAATAAACGTCCCTAGTAAGCACTATTCATTACTTACTTATTTATCACAAACCAGTATAAAGTAACTCAAAAATTCTATGAACAATATAAGTAACTGTTACTTTTCAAAAGTAAAACGGTCAACTTTTCAAAAGTAAAACGATCAGTCTATAAAACTATCCAGAACATTTAAAACAGAAACGAAATTTCAGAATCTTATAAAATTAGTCATCTAAAACGATAACTTCACATTTCTTTTCATCCTCGACGAGAACAACATCATCATCGTCGACATCCACAATTCCTGTATTCACGACTTTTGACGACGTTTCATCTGCAGTTACAATATTATTGGAACACTCTTCCATGGATACTTTTCCTTTAATATCTACTGTATCTTGATTTATGTTTGAAGCAATATCTTCATTAACCTTTGTTAAAAGGTCCTGTGCTATGTCGGTGTTGTCAGCAACATTATCTGGTTTAATATCTTCCTCTTTCGGCGCTACATATGCTGGCGTTGTGCTATCTTCTGTGTTTGCTTCATTACTAATCTCATTGGGGATACTGGCTGAAGTTTCATTTGCACATTCTGATAGCTCGGCATGCATAAGTTGTGCACAATCAATGAGTTCCTCATTGTCTAAATCATCCGCAGGGTTGTAATCTCCATCATCTTTGTCGTAAAATTCAGTTTCTTGCATTTCAGTTTCTGGTTCTAGTAGACTACTGTCGATTTCTCCTTCAGGCCTTACCTTGGGCTTACGGCCTCTTTTTGATTTCATTACTGGTTGTACTGTTTCTACGATAGGTTGCACTTTAATCTCAGTTTTTTGTATGATATTATCATAGTCAATCCGATTTTTATTAACTACTATATCTGCCCTTATCATATCCTCAAAATCTATCAGACCATCGGCATCTTCAGGTATGTCTTCATTTTCAGGCTCGTAATGGTTTATATAAGTTTCTTTATCAATATATTCCGTGCCTGGGGCTTCATCAAGTTCTAGTTCCTTCTCAACCTGGAAATCGTCGTCATCAGAAGGAACTTTTGTTGGTTCTATCTCATCTCCGTCATCATCAAATTCAAATTCGGTAAAGAGACGACGCTTCCTCTGTCTCAAACTATATTTTTTTGGTGCAGGTTCACTTGGAGGATCTTCTAATGTAAAGTCGCTATCACTGTCATTTTCATCATAATATTTACGGGCCGTACGAGACCGTTTTCTTACCATTTTTATTTGTTTTTGTTAAGAAGAGACTGTCAAAGTTATTTGAGGTTAGTTGTCATTACTTGAATAAAATGGTAGTTAATTTCCATTTTGCAAAACTATTTATTAATTTGCAGAATCTGGACTATAGGACTTATATTATTTTACTTAAATTTGGAATATATATGAAAACAGGTATAATGAGAAAAAAAGGAAATATTTCTCAAATTATTCTGTACTTTATGATACTCCCTGTATAAATAGTATGTTAGTGTAATATAAAAATATTACATATTTAATAACGTAATAGGTTTAAAATTTGAAGAATTAAACTGAAAAATACAATTTTCATGATTTTTGACTGTTAATTTACTCCTTAATGAGAATTTACTTTTAAAGCGACCCTATTTTTCCTACCGTTGGCAGCACTGGTACTGATATTTCAATTTTTATTTTCTTTGATTGGAAATTCTAGTTAGTCATCGTAAATCAAATCCTATTTTAAAAATTACTGTTTTTTGAGGTTCCAAATTATTGGCAAATAAATTTTTCATTTACCTTGAAGCTGAAAACCTGCGGATTTAGGAAATCTAGAAATTTTAGGGATTTATTTTTGCCTACACTGCATTTTTGACATTTGTCACTATCTAAATTTTTTCTAGAGTTGTGTGCTATCATCCTCATCCTCAACTACTAAACTATTCAAATTCCATGTTCTATGCTAATTATTGAGGTTTGAGGTTTTGTTTTGAGGAATTTGAAATTCTCCTTTTTTAGTCCATTAATTATTCGAGTCACTGAAAAATTTCAAATCAGTTCAGTTTTTGATGCCGGTTAAGGATCCTTGTAAAGCATTTGCCTGTAGAATACAAGCCTGCCTGAAAGGTACACCATAACCTATTTTGAAATCAAATTATGTAATGTTATAATTTTAGAGAATAATTTCCAAGAGTCGGCATGCCAAGATGCAATTGAGGATATGCGCGAATGTTGCAGAACTTGGAAAGACAAAAGTTTTGTCTGTGAAGGAATAGACATTAGTAAAGGACCCAAGAACAAAAAGTCATCATAAGATCTTTGATATGAACCAACAAAAATTTGGTATCAAGAAGAAGGGTCTTATTTATAGGTATCCCCGTTTGTTTGTAGGAGTAACCACGACATTTTGTTTATTAACGTTCTTCTCCAAACCAATATATGATATATTTTTCAGTAACGAAGTTATTAATATTGAGGAATTACATAAATCTAGGCATAGTAAAAAGTGAGCATGGAATCTGTTCGCAAAGCGAAACAGAGATGTAAGCAATATCCAGTCGTTTTAGCAAAGTGTAGTAAAGAGGCATCAAATTACGCAACATGTGTACTGAAAAAAGACAATGTACATTTAAATGATTGTAGTGCAGAATTCAGTCAATTCAAAATTTGCTTGCAAAAAACGGCTGCTTCGTTGAGTACTAGACTTTAGTAACTCAATAGTCCTGAGTCTAGGTTATTTGATAATGTATTCTGTTTTTCATAGATTTGTAAATATTGATTATAAAGTGCATTTATTGTTTTCTTTATTTGTAAGGTTGCTATTGATAGCCTATGGTATATATCATGATCAGATATCCGAAGTCAAGTATACCGACATCGATTATAAAGTTTTTACAGACGCCTCCCGTCACATTTTAAAGGGAGAGTCGCCCTATGAGCGACACACTTACCGTTACAGTCCACTTGTTGCTTTGGCCCTTGTACCAAACATTACTATTCATCACAGTTTTGGTAAAATATTATTCTCTCTGGTAGATATTGTAGTAGCAGTTTTAATACGTTTAATTGTAAGAAATGCGCTGGATGAATATGAAATGTATAAACACAAAAATCAAAATGATCAGAAGCGGAGGTATTCAGAATCAAAGAAACCGTTTCCTGTTAAACATCGAAAGAGACCCAGACAGTCTTATAAAAAAGTTTCGTCACATATTGAGAAATATGAATTTGATAGTAAGAGTTATTTAGATAGAATGGTGAATATATCAATGTTGGTTTGGTTGTATAACCCCCTAACAATTGCGATTGGTACTAGAGGTAATTGTGATTCCTTAGCTGGTTTTTTGGTATTGTTAACTTTATATACACTCCAGTGTAAGGGTTGGTATTTTATCGCGGGTGTAATCCACGGCTTATCAGTCCATTTTAGAATATATCCCTTAATATATAGCTTGACTTATTTTATGTTTTTAAGCAAATTCTCATTTTACTCTACTGAAGACAGAAAAAAGAGTTTTGTCAAGGCAATCGCGCCGTCTGCTAATTTAAAACCTTTAGACAATGTAGAAAACATTATCGCAGAAAGCTCGTCTCTAGGAGGTCATAAAATAGTACCATACGATGCCAAAGAAAGAAAAACTGTGTTCAAGAAAGAGTACTTACTCTATCTGATACCAAATTTTGATCAACTTAAACTGATAACAGGTTGTATATTATCACTTTCTTGCTTAACTTGGACCTTTTATGAATTATACGGTCACAAATTTTTATACGAGGCATATATTTACCACTTGGTAAGAAAAGACACGAGACATAACTTTTCTCTATATTTCTACCTTCAGTATCTCACGGCTTGGGTAAAGAATATCGGCATTTGGCAGAAAGTGCTAATGGTTTTGCCTCAGTTGGTGTTAATCCTAGTTTTCTCCGTTCGATACGGCTTAAATAAATTCTCATTGAATTTTTCAATTCTTACGCAGACAATCGTAATGGTCATCTACAATGGCGTTTTAACGTCCCAATATTTTGTGTGGGTCATGGCCGTTATACCTCTGTGCTTGTGGCAAGTGAACATGCCGAAAAAAACGGTAGCCCTCTTACTGACTATATGGTTCGCAGCTCAAGGCGCCTGGCTTTTGCCAGCGTATTTGTTGGAATTCCATGGCCAAAACACCTTTTTGTTTATTTGGATCCAAAGTGTGTCCTTCTTTTGTGCTAACATAGCGGTTTTAGGCCGTCTGATCATGTATTTTATGCCAGTTAAGAGAAGGTTAGAATAGTGTGGTATAAAAGTTTGTACTTTATATGTAGAATTAAAAAATTTCAAAAATATGCTTCGTTTTATTGAATTAATCATTGTAAGTAACGTACGTGACTTCTGACAATTATTTTTAAATATTCCAACTAATTTTTCGAAAAGTTGTGGTTTTTACAAACAGCTGGCTTTTATTGAGAGAAATTTTTAAATCAAAGCGCAAAAAAAACAAAACTTGAAATTTTAAATACTGTTGAAGTATAATAGTAATCAATTTATGCTTATATTTATTTGCCAAGAATGATTTAGCTATTTGTACGTTTCTCTACCGATATATTTTCAATATTTAAGGTGTAACATATACTCTGTATGTTATATCTGATCCACTTAAAATATTATGTCTGTGTATAAGCATCCAATTAGTTAAACTGTTCTTTAGTCATCATATGTGTGTATACTGATGAGAATAAGCTCCAAACCGGTCTATGTATGACAATTCTGCCAACAAATGATCTTATCTGTTTGCTAGATATTGTGGGTGTAATTCAATGCTGGACAGATCTCGAGAGTAATTGTTTCTCAAAATATCAATAGCTTATTTTGTTTATTACGACACTATACTAGTCATGCTTTTGTAGTACCTACACCACGTAAGTAGGACTATCTGTAGGTACAATGTAACATTTTCTGACAGTAGGCATCGAGTCGTAATGACATTTAAGATATGACATATACATTGTAGGTTATATCTCGCCAGTCGAACACATTCCTAACCTATATTCGGTCTGCAAATATTTTATTACAATTGTAGAAAAGTTTGTAAGTCTTTCGATTTGTCAAGATGCGTAGCTATTAGCAGCTAATAGCAACTCGGAGTTACTCTGATCTTATATTTGCTATTGCCCTTGGAAATAAATTCACTACACCTTAAAATGTTTAGTTTAGTTTTCTTATGGTAAATATGCCCCTAAGTGAAGAAGTAGTAAATACATACCTGTAACAATTCTGAGAGGGTTCTGCTTTATAAAAAAAATAAATCTTTACTCACAAGTACTTTATTTATCAAAAAATATGTTCTTAGTAACATTTAAGTTTGTTAGTTGAATTCGGAATTCTTAGCGTCCTATTTTTAATACAATAGGATGTAATTTTTTGTACAAAAGTCATAGATAAAGAACATAACTACAGTAATATATTAATTGGCCTAAATGTGCAATTATAAATCTATATTTAGACTTTAAGTTAATATTAACTTGCAAATTCAATATTTACTTTTATACATTTAGTAACTGATCCTTAACCTTGCGCGATATTTTACCATTTCACGACATGCTGAAATACAAAAAATATTGTTACAAATTAAAAGGCTCAAAGATAATAATAAACTGACCTTTCAATAAGACTTGCTCGCATGTCAGAGGTAATGTTAGATGGTGCGGCTTCATTCAATCTAAACACGGATTCTATAACGGTGAGTTCTGTTGAAGTCGTGTCCATCCCGGCGAATGCACACCAATCGTTTACAACTAACCCTGCACCCACTACCTCACTTCCTCTATTTACAGTGCCTGCCTACAAAATTAATCAAAGAAAGATGAAAAGTTGCAAAATATATACTTATCAATACTCACCACAAGTGGTACTTGAAGCAAGGACGATAATTCTTCTTGATCAACAATACTGGTATTTGGATGAACTAAACCGCCCTGGTTGCTAAGAACACAGTATGATCCTACTAGCACGTTACTGGCTATCGTTTGCCTAAAAACTTCTACTTTTAATGTGTCCGCTATTATTTCCTCCGTTTCCTAAAATTAATGTTGTAAGGAATTTAAATAAAGGTTTGTCATAATGTGTATAACATACTCTATCCAAGTCGGGATGTACCAATGCAACATAATCGTTGCAGGCAATTACGTTTCCCAGTGCCGACAGTCTTTCTTCAACTCTCTGCACTTTCACGGAATCTGGAAGGGCATTCCTTATATGTTGTAGTTCTGTGTCAAAAGTCGAATTAGGCACAAGAAGTCCATTTTTATTTCCAACACACATTCTGCCTATGATGCGGCATCCTGCTAGTGAACTGTGTACCACGGGTATAGTTTCACCTAACTCGCCCTCAAAAGTGCTAAGAGAAAATAAAATATATTACATTGCACAATATTACAGGTTTGTAAACACTTACCTGTAGAAGTTCTCTGAGCCACCAATCCCTACTAAACAATATGCATTAGTTAATTTGGCAAATACGCCGATTTCATTGTTATTTTCAAACTGTATACGTAATGCCATTTTGTGTATCGTAATTTATCAGTAAATACAATACTATAAGTAGTATAGGTACAAAAATTTAATATCAAACTTACGAAAACACGTTTACTAACTAACCTCACTTCAGGCTCCAGTTTCGCCACCACCTAGGCATCTTATCACATATTCCCCTATTAAAAAATTATTTAAACAAAGCTAATTTTCACGACGTCACTTTTAGTTCTTAATGTTTACTACCAGCGATATGTAAATCCATAAGAAAAAAGAGAAAAAAGAAACAGAGAATTTTATTTAAAGGATTACATTTTCTAATTTCTGTGGCTGTTATAAACATTTTTATTTCTTTGGGACCAATAACAATTTTTTTGCAGCACCATAGCAAATAAATCGAAATACTTTATTACCATGTACTTCGATAAAAAATGCCTATAAGTAATTTTTCTGATTTGACATTTGACATTTTAATAAACCGGTTCGTTCCGTTGGCCGCAAATATTTTTGGCCCTATTTCGTTTTCCCGCTCTCGCTTGGTTTGTGATTGTAAAATTTATTTTCTCAAACCAATAAACTTGGTTTATTCTTAACGCATCGAAAATTAATGTAGTGTTAAATACCGCATAAGTATTTAATTTATTCGTAAGTATAGTTGTATAACCTTACTTTTTCCATGCCTTATAAATAAATGCATTTCCAGTTTATTATTTATAAAATGGCAACCAAGAGGCGTCATCAGAGTTCAAATGAACACAACGCCAAACCGAAAAGAGCCAAATGTAAGTATATCAATTTTTATGAAAATTTTAAATTCAAATATCTTATTTCAGTCACCTTGGAAAATGCTACGTCTCCTAAAATTGTTACGGAAGGAGTTGTATTGGTAACAGGAGCTGGAGATGTTGGTCAACTAGGTTTAGGACCAGACGTACTAGAGAAAAGCAGACCTGCTCTGCTTAATCTTGACCAAGATATTGTTGATATTTGTGCTGGAGGCATGCATACTGTTTGTTTAACTGCAGAAGGAAAAGTAAGACTCTCGTTTGTAATAAAATAATTTCGAACATTACGATGTTTTTATTTAGGTCATAACTTTTGGTTGTAACGATGAAGGGGCCTTGGGGAGAGTTACCGAAGGAAAAGAAGATGCGGAATTTGAAGCTGGTGAGGTTGAATTACCTTCAAAAGTGGTGCAAGTGTCAGCGGGAGATTCTCATTCCGCTGCCTTGTTAGATGATGGACGCGTTTTTGCATGGGGCACATTCAGAGTAAGATGTGATACGTTTTATATTTCTTTATCTAATTTTTTTAAATTTAGGATTCACATGGTAATATGGGTATGACATTGAGAGGCAACGAGAAACTTCCTTTTGAAATAATTCAGAACGTCCATGTAGTCAAAATAGCTTCGGGCGCAGACCACATAGTATTTTTAACAAATCACGGAGAAGTGTACACTTGTGGGTGTGCCGAGCAGGGGCAGTTGGGTAGAACCACGGAAAGAAGCAGCAGTAGGAATGCAAGAAGCGGAGTGGGTAAGGGACAAATAGGTACGGATTGAGCACTGAAGCTTTTTTATTTTGTTTTTTATCGGGTTTATTTTTTTTGCATATTTTTTTTATTTTTATCGTGAACTATTACTAACATCCCTGTGGTGAACCAGTTTTTTAATTTCTCGAATGATAAAAATGCACGAAACGTTCTTCGTTCCAGCTAAACTCTTACAGCCGGCGCAGATTAGCCTTAAGCCTAGTTTGAGGCTGCATTTCGACAACATCTGGGCTGTAACTTACGGCACTTTCTGTAAAGTGGCGAACAGGGACGACGTTTACGTTTTCGGATTGAATAATTACAATCAACTAGGTAAGCGGCTGACGAAACTCAAAGTGTTCTTTTCGCTTACGCTCTTTGTGCACAATCGTAGGTTTAAAATCCTTGGTGCCGCAGTTTATGCCAAAGTTGAGCAAGGAGTTTTCGAAATACAAGTGGAATATCATCAGTGGGGGTCAGCACCATACGATCGGACTGGACGTAGACGGGAAAGTTTACGCCATCGGCAGGAAAGAATACGGCCGCCTAGGACTGGGTGCAGGTTGTGAAGATGCTGCCGAGCTCCAGTTGGTTTCTACTTTAGAGGGCAAGAAAATTGTAAATGTGGCGTGCGGATCGGCCACGTCGTTTGCAGTTTCGACAGAAGGTGAGTCTCGTTTTCCAGAATTTAGAATCGTTTGGGAATATTTGCAAATATTTCATTTTTTGACGCTGAAAAAATTAGGTAACTTTTGATATTTCCTCACTTTAAATGTCTGTTTAATATTTCGTTTAGTTTTAATACACATTATGAGGTGATTTACTAAATTATAGTATTGTGCGATTTATATACAGGGTGCGGAGCCAAAATCGGGACAAAATTCAATTTGAAATTCCTACCGTTCTATATTATGCAGAGGTCGCGAATAATCTAATAAGTTTTGACACAAGTAATGCCTTAACGAGACAAATGTATTCAAAATATTGTTTCATCTTAGTTAACACGCATGTCTACAAACTACTTCAGATTATTGAAATATATGTGGAATGAAAGACGAAGAAATTCCGGTGTAATAAAATTATACAGGGTGTCTCAGGAGGAGATGTACATACTTCAGTATATTATTCTACGTTCAATTTTAAGCAAAATATTTCCTATGAACTTAGGTCTGGGAACGCTTCGTTTAGGATATACAGGATGTCAAAATAATGGTTGCTTGTGGCGCCCTCTAGAAAATACAGTCCATAAAATTTGAATTTCCCGTCCCAAAACCTCCGCATATAAAATTTTCAAATCTCCTGAAACATCCTGTATAGATTTCTAAAGGCTTAAATTTAACAAAAATTATTAGTATTACTAGCAATCTGCAACTAAAACTAAGTCATTTGAACTACTCCATCATGATTTTTGACATACTGTTTGTCATTAATCGTAATTATGTTATACAGAATAGAAATTCATAATTAATATTCAATGGTTGTGGTAAAGATCAAAATATCAACATGATTTTGTTAAAGGAGAGCTGTACGGTTGGGGTATGGGAACCAACGGACAGCTGGGGACGGGTAAGGAGGACGACTGCGAAGTGCCTACGTTGATTAACAGCAAGCAGTTGGTGGACCGGAGGGTGTTAAGAGTGAGTAGTGGTGGCCAACATACTGTAATTTTAGCTGTAACAAATTCGACCAACAATAAAGGAGACGGAATTTAGTTACGGACTGCATGCACGCCACCAACAGAGTAATAAGTTCCGTAAATAAGCTACTGACTGATTAGAAGTACTTTTACGGGTTTTTTTGCAAATAATCTGGAACTTTTGTTGAATCTTGACGAAATTAAAAAAATGAGTATTATATTTTTGCGCATATTATTCACAGTGTATGAGTGTGTACGTTATTAGAAGTATGAAGACTAAAAATTATCCGCAGCAATCCATTTTAATTGCCTAAAAATTCTTTCACGTTATAATTTCTCTTAAAAACTCTCCCCTTCCGTTCAAGCATAAAACTGTTCGATAATTGATTGCTGAGCTTAAATGGTTGAAAGTACGTTAATTTGCAAAAAATCTTGTACGTGTATGACTGCTGAGTATTCCCAGAACTGTTCTTGAATCGTTACAAATGAAACGTGTAAATATGGAAAGTTGTGTGTACATTTTGATGCTTGATAATCAGAGATGTTTAATAGTTTAATGTTTCCTTTTCGTCAAAACGATCACGTTAGTTATTTTTTGTCGATTGTGGATTTTATTTTAAATGCTTTGATCGTTAACTGTATGTTTCTTTGATGTTCATATTCGGCACAGTGGTGACCAGTGAAAATGAAAATGGTTAAATTAATTTTTGGAGAACAATTTCTGTGTTCCGTTTTTTCGTGACGAAAAAATTTCGAGTGAAATAAACGACTAGGGACCCTCGGACCTCGAAGCGGGTTACAAATTTGCATAAATATGTATTTATGATCGACAAATATAAATAAGCATTTTTTTATTTATTTATCTAAAGAATGTTTTCTTCTTAGTTGTGTTTATTTAAATTTTAATTAAAATGGAAAATACGAAAAGTGCCTGGATCTATAAGTTTATTATAAAAGAAATAATTTCCATACATATGTCTACCTGTTTTTGATATTTCAGAGTCGAGAAACCCTATTTTAATTTTTAATTTTTTTTTTGTAACTCAGTCAAAATTTTTCATCACGAGAGTTTATGTGGGTCAAAATATCAAAATATGACCACTTTAATTTCCACGAACCACCACTGATTTGGCGACTTTTAAAAAAATCTACTTTAACGATTCAAATTACTGTTGGCCACTATGCTTTTGTACAGGGTGTTCCAAAACTAAACGCCGAGTCAACAAGGGGTGATAGGCCTGCCCACGACTTGCTTGAATCACTGAATTCGACCTTAGTAAAAAAAAATCTCTTAGTATTAGAGATATGCACTTTGTTACGATTTTCTCTCAAAAACTATTTCTCAGTCTCAAAGAGTGACTGCAAAAAAAGCCATTTTTCTGGCTGTTTTTGAGACTTTGACAGAGGCGACTGGGAAAATCCTAAAAATTTTCTAAAAATATCCAAATACTCGTCGTTAAAGATGAAAATGAGCGTCACTTTCAGATTTTTGAAAATTTTCGAAACACCCTAATTTAGGGGTTGAAAAGACAAAAAAAGTGAACAAATTAATCATCAACAGTTGTAAAACCCCAAATATTTCTATGTTGTTATCAAAATAATATTATGAATGTAAAAATATCTAATTTCGTATTTGATACGGTCTTGTCCGGATTGAAAATCAACCCTTAATATCCCTAAAGGGGTGAAATCATCCCCTAAACGTCTAAAATGCAAAAAATTTATTAAAAGTTAGAATTTTTTTTCTTTTATACGTATATGGTTGAACTTAGGGGTGGTTTTACCCTCATTTAGGGGTATTTTCCTTCGAATCTAGTGATTGTGGGTTATTAATGGTTCAATTATGACGTATAAAAGAAAAAAAAAATTCTAACTTTTAATATGTTTTTTGCTTTTTTACATAGAAATATTTGGGGTTTTACAACTGTTGATGATTATTAATTTGTTCACTTTTTTTGTCTTTTCAACCCCTAAGTAAGGGTGATTTTCGAAAATTTTCGAAAAACTGAAAGTGATGCTCATTTTCATTTTTCATGACGAGTTTTTGAATATTTTTAGAATATTTTTAGGCCTACTTTGACACTTTGACGGAAATTTTTATTTTGTGAGATAATTGCAACAGTATTGTTTCTGATATATTTGCAGCGCTAGAAATATTCACCGAATGTGCTTATATCTCGAAAACTGTGAGACTTCTAGTTAAAGTTAAATTTAATTATTCAGACTAGTCGTGGACGGTACAAAATATGGACCCTGTATAAAAATCTGTACCAGTGACTTTTTTAAAAGTGTAGTTAATAATTTAATCCCCGTTTTTTGTAAGTGTGAAAATTACGAAAGCCATCAAATTAATATATTTTTACACGGATATATATTGTTGAAAAGCAGTGCATGTTATAGTCGCTATGAGTGACATATTTTTGTCCGTTATACTAATTTTTATGTTTGTAATTTGACGTAATGTGTTTGTTATATTATTAAATATATTTTCACTGCCTTTATATTTCTTAGTAAGGTGTTATCAAGTATATTTATAAATTGTTGATCGATTTTGAAATAAAGATACTTTCCGTATTACTCTGTTTTATTACAGTTTACTTTATTTAGATATCTTGTGTCAACAATGGTGGTAAGTTGCTTTCTGTTTGTCGTGATTGGAAAATACTTGCTATATTTTATTTCTCCACTTGCAATTAAGAATTAAAAAAAAAATCTGTTGTAACTTTAAAAAAATTTAATTCGTTTAGTGGCCTCTGGATATTTAGGAATGAGTTATGAAATAGTTTCCATAATGTGCTTTCTGATAAAATTCAATAAATTATATTCTTTCTATGTAAAGAGAGCAAAATTGGCAATGTTCATTAGAGCGGTTTCGGATTGGTCAGAGCCGTTATAGTTCACCGGATTTTTTTCCGATATTTGTCTTAAAAATGTTTGAAATTTTTTTTAATTTCTTTTTTCCATGAAAATTACTAAAAAATTAAAGTGCTCATCTAAAAGCGGTTTTGTTCATTCTTAATACATATTATCCATAATTTATAATATATAATTTTAAGAATTGTTATGCAGCCAATTGTACACGTGTATTGTAATGTATGTTGCCTACCGAACAAAAACTTAAATATAACCGGAATAAAAGAAATCGAAAATCTGGAAAACTGGTAGAGCTAGAGAGGAACTGAATGCATTTTTTGATTGGTCAGGGCCGTTATAGCTCACCGAAACGTTTTCAGACATTTCTGAGTCCTAAAAATTTTTGAGATTTTCTTGTTTTTTAATTTTTTTTATCCATGGAAATTGCCAAAATATTAAAGAATTCATGTAACGGCGGTTTTGTCTCAATTTTGAGAATATATTGTTGCAGGAAGCAGAATGAAATGTTACTTCTTTAATTTGCTGTATCGGAGGAAAAACCGACTTTTTTCTGCGTAGGTGAGATGTTTTGTTCCCCATGTCTTTATATTGTGAACTGTTAAGCTACATTAAGAAATACACGAATTATATTACTGTTCTATAAACAAAGGAAGATTTAGTTATAGTTGTGTTGTTCATTTTTAATACATTTACCTATAATCTACAATATTATATAATTTTAAGAATTGTTATGCAGCCAAGTATACACGTGTATTGTAATGTATGTTGCCTACCGCAAAAAACTTAAATGGAACCGGAATAAAAGAAATCGAAAATCTGAAAAACTGGTGGAGCTAGAGAGGAACTGAATGCATTTTTTGATTGGTCAGGGCCGTTGTAGTTTTTTTAAAATATTAAAAAGCTCATCTAACGGCAGTTTCGTCTCAAGTTTAAGATTATATTGTTGTAGGAAGCAGAATGAAATGTTACTTTTTTAATTTGCTGTATCGGAGGAAGAACCGACTTTATTCTGCGTAGGTGAGATGTTTTGTTCCCCATGTCTTTATATTGTGAACTTTTAAGTTACATTAAAAAATACAGTAATTATATTACTGTTCTATGAACACAGGAAGATTTATTTATAATTGTTTTGTTCATTTTTAATACATTTACCCATAATCTACAATATTATATAATTTTAAGAATTGTTATGCAGCCAAGTATACACGTGTATTGTAATGTATGTTGCCTACCGAACAAAAACTTAAATAGAACCGAAATAAAAGAAATCGAAAATCTGGAAAGCTGGTGGAGCTAGAGAGGAACTGAATGAATTTTTTTATTAGTCAGGGCTGTTATAGTTCACCGTAACGTTTTCAGATATATCCGAGTCGTAAAAATTTTTGAGATTTGTTTGATTTTTTGATTTTTTTTTACCCATGAAAATTGCCAAAAAATTAAAGAGCTCATCTAACGGCGGTTTGTTTCAACTTTGAGTATATATTGTTGTACGAAGCAGAATGAAATGTTGCTTGTCTAATGTGACATTTGATCTATCAAGGAAGAACCGACTTTTTCTGTGTAGGTGAGATGTTTTGTTCCATGTTTGTTTATTGTGAATTGTTAAGCTACATTAAAAAATACAGTAATTATATTACAGTTCTATAAACAAAGGAGGATTTATTTATAATTGTATTGTTCATTTTTAATGCATTTACCCATAATCTGCAATATTATATAATTTTAAAAGATTGTTATGCAGCCAAGTATACAATTATATTGTAATGTAGGTTGCCTACCTAAAAAAAACTTAAATGGAACCGGAATAAAAGAAATCGAAAATCTGTAAAACTGGTTGAGCTAGAGAGGAACTGAATGCATTTTTTGATTGGTCAGGGCCGTTGTAGTTCACCGGAACGTTTTCAGATATTTCTGAGACCTAAAAATTTTTGAGATTTTTTTGTTTTTTTAATTTTTTTTTATCCAAGGAAATTGCCAAAAAATTAAAGAGCTCATCTAACGGCAGTCTCGTCTCAAGTTTGAGATTATATTGTTGTAGGAAGCAGAATGAAATGTTACTTTTTTAATTTGCTGTATCGGAGGAAGAACCGACTTTTTTCTGCGTAGGTGAGATGTTTTGTTCCCCATGTCTTTATATTGTGAACTGTTAACCTACATTAAGAAATACACGAATTATATTACTGTTCTATAAACAAAGGAAGATTTAGTTATAGTTGTGTTGTTCATTTTTAATACATTTACCCATAATCTACAATATTATATAATTTTAAGAATTGTTATGCAGCCAAGTATACACGTGTATTGTAATGTATGTTGCCTACCGAACCAAAACTTGAATAGAATCGAAATAAAAGAAATTGAAAATTTGGAAAACTGATGGAGCTAGAGAGGAACCGAATGAATGTTTTCTTTAGTCAGGGCAGTTATAGTTCACCCGAACGTTTTCAGATATTTCCGAGTCCTAAAAATGTTTGAGATTTATTTTGATTTTTTGAATTTATTTTTACCCATGAAAATTGCCAAAAAATTAAAGAGCTCATCTAACGGCGGTTTCGTCTCAACTTTGAGAATATATTGCTGTACGAAGGAGAATGAAATGTTGCCTCTTTAATTTGCTGTATCGGAGAAAGAACCGACTTTTTTCTGCGTAGGTGAGATGTTTTGTTCCCATGTCTTTATATTGTGAACTGTTAAGCTACATTAAGAAATACAGGAATTATATTACTGTTCTAAAAATAAAGGAATGTTTATTTAATATTATGTTGTTCATTTTTAATACATTTACCTATTATCTGCAATATTATATAATTTTAAGAATTGTTATGCAGCCAAGTATACACCTATGTTGTAATATAGGTTGCCTACCGAACAAAAATTAAATGGAACCCGAATAAAGAAATTGAAAATCTGGAAAACTGGTGGAACTAGAGAGATACTAAATGCAGTTTTGGATTGGACAAGACCGATATAGTCCTACAAATTTATGAGAAAATCGATGGACCA